TTTATGAACTGTTTCTCCAGAGAGAGATGACATATCAGGCTTTAGTAATTTCAGGGTCATTTACATTATCAATTAAAATACAGCTTTATCCAATGCCTGCTCATGCATTCAATTCTATACGGACCTATAGAGCTCCCAGTATATGCCAGGCACTGTTCTAGCACCAAGTATACAGTGGTGAACACAAGGTCTTTGCACTCAAAGAGTTCATATCTTAATAAGGTGAAATATTAAAAATCTATTCAGTCAACAAATATTTATTGAGCACCTACTATGTGCTCGGGATGCATTGGTGAACAAAATGAGCAAAAATCCTTGTCCTCATAGAACTTACATTCTAATGGGAAGCGATAGAAAATAAGCCATTAGCAAAATAAGTGAGGAAACTCTATAGTTTGTAAAAGGTGATAAGTATCATTGGAAAAGAAAATAAAGCAGTTAGGGGAGAGTGAGGATAGGGAGCTAGAATTGCGACTTTTTTTTTTTTAAAGATTTTATTTATTTATTTGACAGAGAGAAAGATCACAAGTAGGCAGAGAGGCAGGCAGAGAGAGAGGGGGAAGCAGGCTCCCCGCCAAGCAGAGAGCCCGTAGCAGGGCTCAATCCCAGGACCCTGAGATCATGACCTGAGCCGAAGGCAGAGGCCTAACCCACTGAGCCACCCAGGCGCCCCTAGAATTGTGACTTTTAGATCAGGGTCAGCCTCACTGAGAAATGGAAAGAGCTGAGAGAATGAGCTATGTGGATGTCTGAGAGAAGAAGGTATCAGGCAGATGGGACAGCAAATGCAAAGGTCGTGAGGCAGGAGCGTTCCTATTAGAAATAAGGAGGAGAAGGGGAGTGAGCAAAGGAAAAAGTAAAAGTTAGAGGGAGAGTGGAGAGGGGATAGATCATAGATCCCTTAGGGCCTTGCCCAGTGAAAAGGCCACCATTCATTTCTGAAAGAAACAAATAAAAAGTGCAGAATATATTTCTTGCTAAGCAAAGAACAACCGCATTGTAAGGCAGAGCCTGTGAACAATGAAATCTGTGGTCTTACGTGGTGTTTTGGAAAGTGTGGGTTCAGAGATTCCCACTTTTTGAAGCTGGACTGTTTGGGGAATGAGTCGACCTTTATTTAGCGAAGGAAGCAGGATTACTGGAGTGTGGCTGTCACTGATTGGCTGACTTTCTGAAGCGGGGAGCTGTCACCGAGTGAGAGGTTGTCACTGATTGTTGAAAAGATTCTGGTTGTTAGTTGTACTACGACCAAAGAACAATTAATCTTTTCCTTTGTTCAACTTAGAATGAACACACTTGTCACCCTCCGCTTTGCAAGCCCACCCTAAAAGCTTTGTCGTTTACTCTGAGGGAACCTGGGAGGTACTGGTGGATTTCTGAGCAGAAGGGTGACAGGATCTCATTTACATTTTTAGAGAATCACTCTGGCTGCTGTGTAGGCAAGGGGGGTAGTAGGGAGACAAGTTAGAAGGTCACTGCCGTCATCCTGGCAAGAGGAGATATGGCTTGAACCATGGTGGTAGTCATGGGGGAAAATGGGAAGGCCCGCATTTTGGATATATTTACAGACCATAAATAAACAAGACAATCCAGTTCGGCTGAGTAGATTGGCGTGAAGAGAACAGTGTTTACCTTCACATGAGGTGACATGACTAGATGACATTACAGAGTAACCAGGTGGGGCTACTTTAGGAGGGGTGAGGGAGAGCCTCTTTGAAGAATAAGACCTCAAAGATGAAAAGGAGCCAGTTAAGACCTTAAGACAAGAGCCATGTGTGTGTGTGGCAGAGCCAAGACCAGTGTGTGTTGAAGGTGCAAGGGGGTAAGGATGGAGGCGTAAGTGGGGGAGGGAGAGAAAAGCAGAAGCCAGATCCTTCCAGGCCTCGACTTCAGAGAACGGACGGAGAAGAAAGGGGCAAGAATAGAATCAGGAAGTTGGAAACAGAGATCATTCATTCTATACTAGACGCTACCATCACGGATATTCTATGAGGCCTCATTAAAGTCATAAAGTAAAATCCAACCCGGAAGTCTTCCTTGTGCCAAGGATCCTGCTTTGTTGTTTGCTGAATTATGGCTCATATAAATAATGGTATAAGTTAAGGGGCAGCTATGAAGTGTGGACCAGTAAAAGAGACAATCACTGATCCTCTAACCTTTAATGAAAAGCCTAGAAGCAATAAAATATCTGAACAGTCAAGAGAAAAAAAGAAAAGTCTGGATTAGTCTAGATAATGTCTTTTCCACAACTAAACTGTGATACATGTCTTTCATCATGTGATCATGAAAAATGGGGGTAACATTTACTGGAGGGCTTCCTGAATGCAGGTGTAAAGGGCACAGAGAACACAGATTGTCAAGCCAGCATGACCTGGGATTCAGCAGCAGAGGGGCATGGTCTAGGTAGGTCCCTGTCTTCTAGAGTTAGGTCCCCAGAGTAAGGAGAGTGCTTTATCCACCCTTGCCGCCCTGGGGCTCCTGACACAGCCCTTGATAAACAGTGGGAGCTGACGAACCTTGTTGTTGCATCAGAACTGAGAGCATGTCTGTTAGATCAACAGTACTGAAATAAGAGCATATGAACTCAGGAAAAGCAGTCATCGTGCAGCGTTTGGTTCATCATCCAGTGTGTGGATTAGTCATACATCTCTCAATCCTACTACTTCCTTTTTTTATATTTCCTGTCTTTGAGCACATCATTTCACTCTGAAAACTCCACTTGCATGGGTCATCCTCAAGGGAGAGGTCCAAGGTAGGCCAGTTTTATCCCTTTTTAGCAAATGACAGTTTTTTAAAAGTTTGATGGAGATTGAAATTCATATCATATAAAGATCTTAAGATAGGAGGCCAACTTTTTTTTTTTCTTTTTAGGGTTTTCTTTGTGCATTTTCTTTAATTCCAAACAATCCTAAGAAGTAGCGAGCAATTATCAGTCTCATTACAGAGGTGAGGAAACTACAAGGGAGGGGCAAAGAAATGCGGCCAGGGTCGTAAAACAGTACGAGGGGAGCTGGAATTCAAGTCAGGGTGTCTGATTGCACAGTGGCATTGCTACTTAACTCCTCTTGGAATAACTCGGAGGCTTTCACTTGTCATTGCTTCCTTATTTGCTCTTGAAATGTTAAAATATGCGGAGAAACAGTAGGAGCTCTATAAATAAAACATGGCTATATATTTTTAAATGATTAAAGCTGGAAAGTTTAATGTGGCACCCGGCCACTTGTTTAGTGGAAGTAAAGGGAACGCGACTGCCGGCTCCTGTTGCAGAAATCCTGCCGCCCTTTGCAGCGCGCGGCGGTGTCTGGCTCACAGCCCACCTGTGATGGTCGCAGCCCGGGGAAGACTGACCCCACACTGCAGCCAGGAAAAGCCAGCGGGGGTGCCTGGCTGCAGAGGCAAGAACAGGGCATGGAGTCTTGCGGCCCAAAAAATCATCTGGTTGGGAAAAGCCACATGTCAGGTAGCGACTGTTGGGGGTGCGGGGCGGGGGCGCTGGAGGGGGACAGGAAACGCAACATTTTAAATTCAGGGTGAAGGCTGGCTCGTCCGACCAACCTGTTAAACCTGAAGGAGAGGGCTGTATCTTTAGATGAAATCTGAACAACGAACATCCGAGCTCCGTGACCGAGAGGGAGCCGTTGTGCGTTTGGCAACGTTTACAGGCACACAAGGAAAACACGAGGTGCTGAAGGCATTCCAGGAGGGAGCCGTCATTCAAATCCACCCGGGAGCTCGAGTGTCGCCCTGGCGGGCGGTTTCTGCCCTTGGTTTCCCCTTCTAAAAAATCGTCGGGCGGGTGAGACGCTTTCACGTGGGGGGAGGGAGGGGACAGCAAAGGGAGGGAAGCCTGAGAAATCACGCATCGCAGAGGCCCGGGAAAACACCGTGGGAAGAAAACCCGCATAGACCTCCAGAGCGTGCCCGAGTCCCGGCCCTGGGAAGCCCCCGCCGAGCACAGCGGCCGCCCGCCGCCCCCCGCAGCCTCCGCAGGAGCCGCCCGCCGCGGCCCGCAGCCAGTATCCGACTCTGCAGGTTCTAGCTGTCGCGGCCGCGCCGCACACCGGGCAGAGGCGGGGAGGGGCGTGGCCGCGGCCGGGGGCGTGGCCGGGGCGGGACCGGGGCGTGGCCGCGGCGAGCGGGCTCGCGGGAGGCGCGGAGGGAGGGTGTCGCGCCGAGGGAAGCGGCCCGCGGCGGAGGGAGGGGAGGCCGAGTCCTGGAAGCGGAGCTCCGCGCTGGGACTGGTTCCTTCGCAGCCATTTTCTGTCCAACCAAACAGCCGATTGGAGACGGGAGCCAACCAGGGCTGCATTGGAGGTTTGTGTCTCGCTTCGGCCAATGATCGCTCCTAAACCGACTCCACTTTAGCTCGAATGAAATGTCCGTCTCCTCCCGGCGCCGTCCCCGCCGCCAACGCCGCCGCGGCCGGGGCCACTCGCCTCCCTCCCGCCCGCCCTCCCGCCCGGGGCCGGGGCCGGGGCTGGGGCCGGGCCGGCGCCTGCGAGGCCGCTCCCGCTGCGGGCCCGGCCGGGGAGCGGGCGCGGGGCCGCGGCGCGGCTCTTTGTACTCCGGGCCGAGGAGCGGCGGGACTCGGGCCAGGCCGCCTCCTGCTCGCCGCCGCCGAGCTCCGGGCCCGAGGCCGAGGAGGGGGCGCCGGGGCCCCCTCGGGCCCCCTCTCGGCGGCGCCCCGGCCGGCTCCATTTTGTGCGGGCAGCCGAGTGGGGGGCACTGGCCCGAACCCCGGTTCCGACCCTGCGCCCTTGGCGGGGCTGCCGCGCGGAGTCTCCGGGGGCGCCCCCCTCCCGCCCGCTCTCCCGCCCGCCGGCCCGCGGGGGCATGGCAGGGCCGGGCCGCTTTGTCTGCCCCGGCGACCCGAGCGGGCGGGCGGGCGGCCGGCAGGCGTTGGGCGCGGGCCCGGGGCCTGGGCGGGCGAGTCGGGGGATGCGCGCCAGGGGCGGTCGCCCCGCACCAGCGGGACTGACAGTCGGCCGGGCCGGGCGGTGGGGCCGGGGACAGCCCGCGCACCTTCGTGGGGAGGAAGCCAGGTCCCCGGGAGGAAGGAGTGGATTTGGTTTCCCCGCAGTCTGGCTTACACGCACGTAAAGAATGCAGCCATCTGGCGGCTTGCGGTCCCTGGACTTGCCCCGAAGGTGGGAAGGAAGCCTTTCGGATTGGACTAAGGTTTTAATCTTCGGTGGGAGGCGGGGAGGATCTGCCGGGCCTGAGGAGCAGTAGTCTTCGAGAACAAAGAATTACAGAGCACCCACAAGTCGTAATCTTGGCCAAAGTACTGTAACAAGATAATTTAAACAAGGTTAGGTAGCATACGACCTTAAAAAAAAATAGCATCCCACTAACCCGCATGGACTCCACGGTGCCCTGGTTCGTGCCACCACGAATCCCTGGGGTGGTTTGGGCTTTCTTAGTATGGAAACTAATCGGCAAAATAAAGTGGTAAGATAAACTGATCGATATAAGTGGCATTAATAAATAAGGGTTTTATTTGTAAAGTATTGAAAGTTTAACCAGAATTCCTTAAAAGGCGATTATTCCTTTCCCGCACTGCTCCTGTAGCTTAATTTAAGGTTTCTATTGATGCAAAACTCTGGTTGTTGATGCCAAAGAATGGAGGGTGGAGGAAGGGTCTGCTGCTTTTCTTGGATACAAATTTGCATTTCTTCAAACATTAAACAGATGTATGCATTCCCTTGAGCTTTCACATATATCATAACCTGCCTTTAGGAAAATATATACCATATGAGGTGACAGTGTTTATCTTTAATATATTGACTCTAAATATATACCGAGTAAACTATTTGGGTGAGAGAGTGTGGTGAGGTGTGCCCCCCTCCCCCAAGCAAAATACATAAATGTATATAGCTCCATTATTTTAAGTGTACTGAGGATTTTCTTTTTCAAAGACACCCTTAAAAAAACGCTTCTAGCCACAAGGAAGGAATCTTCTGGGCAGTTTTGGGGTTAGAAAGAGGACAATATTTAAAAAAGAAATCAGACATTGCTTTTAAGATTATAGCAGAGTAGACAATGTCAGCCAGTCTTTGCTGCCTGGACTGACATTTAAAAAATTCAATTCGTGGCTACATTTTTTTTTTTCTTCTGTTTACTAGATTTCATGCTTGAATGCATAGCATTATTTTCTCTTCCTTTTAAAATTAACACTGAAAGGATATGTTTTTGTTTTGCCCCTCCCCCCAATTTAATTGCTTCACTTGAAAAAGGGGAAAAGAGCAAATGAGAAATGGAGATTGTAACATTGTAATTGATACCAATTTATTCAGCTATTTATGCCTTACAGTGAAAATGAAATGCTATTCAGATGCAATTTTAGTCCAAAATGATGGTGCTTTAAAATGATAAATAAAGGTCCTAATTGATTGTGTTCCATGTATGTTCTCTGGGCATCATGTATCCTCTTTTCAGTATCATCCGAGGTGTTTAATTTAAAAGCATTGTATTCTGAGATATTCTTTTCCCCTTTTGAGCTTTTGGACTCCCTAAATCTCACTCTAAAATATTAAGAAAATCACTGAAAAATTAAGTTGGGTGTTTGTGTCTTGGGTGTTAATATTTTGAAGAATTTAGATGTGTAAAAATTTTTGTCTCGTGCATATAATTTGGGGTGTTGTGACAAATATTTATGATGAACATGACTAAATTCAGGGTTATGTTAGGAAAGTAGTTCCTCCCTGCCATAGAATTAACTTTTTTGCCAGGTCTCCAAAATATATCTGCCAATTTAAGAAACCTTTATTGGGCGCCTGCTTTTTTGCACTCTGTTGAATAAGAATAGTAGGTGAAATTATACACGGTTTTTAAATTTTTACTAGGGAGAAAGCCTGTAGGCAGTACGTTGTTACTACTAATAGATGTTTATCTTCTAGGTTGAAGTTGGGCGAAGATTAGCCCTCCTTTTAGAAAGGTGTTCCTGAACACCGCTGACAACACGGTTCTAACAGTATTTCATGACGGTAAGTATGTCGTACCATTTTGGTTGTTAACTAGATTTGAACAATAATTAGCTGGAAATAAAATTATACCTAATGTCTCACTGGAGATCCCAAGCAGAATGAATGTCCTTCAAGTCTAGACAGACAGTACGTCCACTCACTCATTCCTGTTGCTTCTTTCTTTTTAGGGACTTGCATGTATTGTTTCCTGTGGGCCAATAAGTGCTGTGGAGACTACGAGATAAAAAGCTTGTCCCAGCTCTTAAGAGGCTTGTCTGTTTTGCTAGAAGGGCTTCAGTGGAACTGAATGCTTAGAGGACAATTTTGCAGGGAATGGGACATGTTAGTTCTAAGGGAAGCAGAGATGAAAAGACCAGTGGCGTGGTAGGCCTGGGTAGTTGTGACTGTCTTGGACTTAGCCTTGAAGGATGAGTGGGATTTGGATAGTGGAGGGTATCACCGAAAGCAAAAGCCTGAAGGCAGGGATGAGTAACTGATGTTTAGGGCATGGGGAATAGATTTGCATCATCCAAGTGGAGTTTTCATAGGATAATTTAGTGTGAGATACCACTTTTCCTGTCTGGATACTTAGTTCTGAATCTGCTACTATATTTGTGATGTCAGGCATGTTACAACTTCCTTGAGCCATGACTCATGCCTCAGCCCTAAAATAAAAGAGCTGTACCTGGTGATCCTTAAATAAGGCACATTCTAGCACTAAGATTTTTATCAGCCCTGAAGATAGAGTTGGAAACAAGTTTAGTTAAGTGGGGGGATCCACTCATGAAAAGTCATGGAAAAACTAGGTTTGGATTTGACGCTGAAGACTTTTAGAACGTTCCAGGGTCAGGCGCTATAGAAACGGTATTCGAGTGAGATCCGTCTTAAAACAATATGTACCCTGGTAGGTTCGATAGTAATGCAGTGGCAGGAGAGAAAGGAAGGGCATATCCAGGAAACTTATTACAAGAAGTGGAACTTGGAGGAGACAGAAGAATCGAAGATGACATTGGTATAATTAGCCTGGGATCACAGTAGCTAGAAAACAGATGAGGAGCTCTCAGCCACTGCCTCCTTGCAGGACACGGGGAGGGTGAGTTTCATTTTCCAAAATCTTAAGTTGGCAGCGATGGGATATCAGATATATTCTACGGGCATGGCCCACGGGAGTGGCAGGCAGGATATGGTTGTAGATTTAGGACTTCTAAGCATAGAAGTGGTATTTAATGAGTTCATTAAGAGAGTAAGGGAAGAAACAGGAAAGGATAACCTTGGGTGAAACTAACAACTGGGCTGTGTGGAGGAAAAAATAAACCGGGAAAAGGATATTGTTCAAAATCAAGGGAGAAGAGAATTTCACGAGTAAGTGTGGGGTCCTCAGTGGCTAGCACTACTAACAACAGCCAAGTAGGAATGAAGGCAAGATTATTGGCAACTTCCGAGAGCGGGTTCAGTATCCTGGTGGGGTGGAGAAGCGCACGCCAGGGAGCTGCAATAGGAATGCGGAGATGCGTGAGGACCGACGGGGTGACCGTGATCGCTAGCCAAGGCTGTGGCGTGGAATCTCGGTTTTCCAGGGCTGGGTGTACTTCTGTGTGTTCAGTGAGGGAGTGTGAGCGTGTTGAAGAAAGAGCGAAGCAGCTGGTCTGAAGATCCATTAGAGGGAAGGAATCTTCCTGTCACTTCTTATCCTCAAAGAGATAAAAAGGAATTGGTCCAGAGAACAGGTGAAAGGGGTTACGTGAGAGAGAAAAACCGTGCCTAGAAAGAAGGGTGAGAACTGTATTTGAAGAGACAAAAATAATATTAGGTTATGTTTGTTGAGTTTGTATCATACACTTTGCTAAGTGCTTTTTATATAATAACTTCACTTCTCATGGCAACTCCATCTTAAAAATGGGGAAGCTGAAGTACTAAGAGGACAGTAAGTAAAGACATACAGCTTGTAAGTGGGGAGCCCAGCCTCAGACCTGGGTGGTCTGCCCTAAGGGCCCATGATTGCTCTTGATCCTGAACCCCAAACCAGGTGTATTGCTTACATCCCACAGATAATGTCCTGGCTTGAGAAGCAACTTTAAATGTTTTTAATATATAGTCATTAGACCTGGAATTTAGAGAGGTCAAAGTATAGATTTAGGCTTATGGACTATAGGAAAAACTATTAGGAACAAATACTGTAAAGTACTTGGCATCGGAGACTCTGGATTTAAATCCCATTTACTCTGTCACCTTTGGCAAGTCATTAGCCTTCTATAACCTCAATTTTCTCATCTGCTTCACAGGGTCATGAACAGTGCATGAGATATTTAGAAAGTGCTCAATAAATGTTAAACATATTAAAGAGGGAACTATTTCCCGCATTTGCAACAAATTATTAGTGTAATTTAAATACTGCTACATCACCAAATTATTGTATTAGCCAGCCAACCATTGATTTCACATAATATTTTAGAAAACAATATCAGTTCAACTAAGTAAACAGAATAGTCAATCGCATTAATTTAATGGGATTGAACTACTATTTGTCTGTAGTTACCAGTTTTCTTGGATCTAATGATTGGCTGTTTTACCCATTGTCTCGTTGCTCTCCTGCATGCCCTTCCCTCTTTGCTGTCTGGATAAGGCCCAGCACTTTAGCTTCCCTCCTCTTCCCCTAGCTGCGGATGTGTCATGACTGTGCCACTGCACATTTGTGGTCACCGGCTCCAGCTCAGCTCTCATCGCCTAGCCCTCCCATTGCCTGCCTTTCCCGTTCTCTATCTCCAAGGTTGCGAGAACCCCAGCAGCATCCCCTCGGCCCTTCCTCTGGTTCGTTTTCACTCAGTTTTCACCAGGTCTGTTGATTTGACCTCCTGCAAGGCTCTTTCCTCTGCTCCCCTTGATCTCCACTGCTGTTGTCCTGGACCGATCTGGAGAATGAATGTTCATCATCTTGCCTGAGTTCATGCTCCGACGGCAGCTTCATGGTCCTTCGTGGTCTTCTGCCCTCATTCTTGCTCCTCCCTTTCTACACTAGACTGAAGCCAGAGTCTTAGCAGAACTGTGCAAATCAGACTCCCCTTTGATTTGCTCTTGTCCACAAGGCACCGCTTCATCTAGCCTCTTGTTAGTTCATTCTGGTCCACCAGTAGCAGATTTCTGTTTCCTTTGCCTGGAACATTCTTTTCCCATTCTTCCTTGCCTGACTGATTTCTATCTTTTCATCTATTTAAATGTCATTTCCTCAGACCGTTTCCTTGACTCCCCAGACTAGTGTGGCCCCTTTTGCAATGAGCTCTCAAAGCGTATCACAGAACACCTTTGTTTTTCTTAGCACTTGGCACTAGTAATTAGTTATTGTAATTATTTAATAGCTATATATAACATTTACTGAGTACTCCTGTTATACTATGCTGAGTCTTTCTGTGGTGAGTCCTGTCTTCATTTCACTTGCTCAAGGTCTCATGGCAAGTAAGTAGGAAGGAATTCAAACCAGGTGATAGGAATCCAGAGCCTGTGCCTTGGAAGTATTAATAGACTACACTCCTCATCCCTTTCCCCTACCACTAGTTTACGTAATACTTGTCTTCCCTGCAAGATGAGGACAGAGATCTTGTCTATGTTGTTGACGAGGCTCCATCCCCAGCACAGAGCACAGACCTGATAAATACCAGGGACTTACTTAGTAAGTATTTGTTGACTGGTTTACTTAAAATCTCCAGCCTATTTTGAATATTTTTATAGGAAGCTTAGACCTTGAAAAAGCCTCTGGGATGTATCTAGCAAGTACCTCTGCCTCATTTCCCCACTCATATTATATATATGTGAACGGCTAGCAGATTGTAAGCATCAAAGATGAGGCTTGATTTGTTACCAGATATCTTGGTGATTCAGAGAAGGGGACACTCATTTTGGGCTTGCAGAATAGGGTAAATCAGAAAGATTTCAGGAGAGTGGGAGAACACTGGGATTAAAGTATGGGGCAGGATTTTAAGGTAGAAAGATAGGAAGACAGGTGTGATGAAATGACAGAAGAGCTACCGCTTGCAGACCCAGAGACACACACAGCTAAGTCTGCAACGTGCTGCTTATTCTCAAGAAGGGCGGGTTGGGGGGCGCCTGGGTGGCTCAGTGGGTTAAGCCTCTGCCTTCAGTCAGGTCATGATTCCAGGGTCCTGGGATCGGGCCCTGCATCGGGCTCTCTCTGCTCACTGGGGAGCCTGCTTCCCCCTCTCTCTCTGCCTGCCTCTCTGCCTACTTGTGATCTCTGTCTGTCAAATAAATAAATAAAGTCTTCAAAAAAAAAAAGAAAGAAAAACTTTACCTTAAAAAAAAAAAAAAAAGAAGGGCGGGTTGGATCACCATCTCCTGAGTACACAGCTCTTTAGCAGATTCCCTTTCTTTCATTCTGACAACTCTGAAATACTTTCAGAAGTATTTTTTAGAAGACTGAGGTTTAGAGGCTAATGAATCTAAATGATAATCTTGCTACTAATTCCAGTGTATGACAAGAAAATGTGATTTAAACTTTTTGCCTTTAATACTTTTTTCATGTTAAATTTATAAATTAATTGATCCCCCAGACAGATGTCCCCTGCCCCACCCCAACAAAGATTTGTTTCCAGTTGTAGGTTCTGAAACAACCACTTTGGTCCTTTCTCCTAAACTGTCATCTCCCTAATCTCCCTTAGGGCATTATAAAAACTAGTCAATTCACAGTTAATTGAGCTCTCTTTCATGGCTAATAAATCCATCATCATATCTATTAAAGACCATTCTCTGGGCACCTGGGTGGCTCAGTGGGTTAAGCTTCTGCCTTAGGCTCAGGTCATGATCTCAGGGTCCTGGGATAGAGTCCCGCATCTGGCTCTCTGCTCAGCAGGGAGCCTGCTTCCCCCTTTCTCTCTGCCTACTTGTGATCTTTCTCTCTCTCTGTCAAATAAATAAAATTGTAAAAATAAAAAGACCATTCTCCTAGTATCTTGTTAGCATTTTAAGATTAAAATAGCATTTTATTTTTGGGTACTGTTTCACATTAGCTGTTTAATATGGGGAAGGTGATACTATTTCCATTTTATATAGAAACACATTTAATGGGTAGGGATGCTGTTTTCAGGGATCAGCAGGAGAGTCAGAATCAGAGCTCACTGACCGTTGTTTACTACCTTTTAGAAACCACTATGAAGTATCAATAAATAGGTACCTTGTACTTGTGCAAATTATTTAAAGTAGGTGAATTCTATTCTCCAGCCCCTTAGAAAACTATATAGATTATGGAAATGTATCTTTATCTACAATTAAATTTAACACCAGTCAACAGACGTATCAAAGAATTGTCATGTTATTGAAGAGTTGGAAACCGGCGTGCTGGTTTACGAGTAGATGAAAATCCAACAGAGCCGGAAAACATGATGTGGCACACAAGGACTTAAATAGTGCAGTTAATAACATTAAACTTGTTATCAATGTTCTGGCCCTGATAAACATGTAGGATCAAGTGTCTCTTGATTTGGACTGAAAGCATGTATAGATTGTACTTAATTTTTGCTACGCTTTTTATTCAGGTAATGGATTTACAATTTTTCCACCCACAGATAGCTAGTCCCTTATTGTTTTGAATAGTATTATTTGCAAAGTGGAAAGATTTCCAGGGTTTGCCATGTTGGTGAAATGGAATGAAGACAGTTTAGGGCTTATGTGCAGTTTTCTCTAGGGTTTCCCTCTTACAATTCTTTTAGCTCTGAGCAAACTTAATTAAGCAGGCTTCTTTTAAAAACAGTCATTTTAATTCTCATTTTTGTCTACGGTTATAATTTTACTGTCTTCTTATGCAGATCCCCAGTCTCCCTGACCACCCTGTCCCCTTTTTTTTCTTTAAAGAATCTGAAGTTTGAGGGTGGGGGCAGGAGGGGGGAATTGTGGAGTAGAATTAGAGCTGTTAGGCTGGTTCAAAGTAGGGTGTGCTTTCAGGTTGTGTGGTCCCAGATTTGTTCAAGGAATCTGTATGCTTCTCATGCCAAAGAGCAGTTTGAACCAAGACATTGCCCCTTGTGGAACTTCTGTGAGACAGCAGAGAAGGTACGCACAAGAGCAAAAGGATTCGCGTAAGACTGTCCGGCCGTGGCAGGAGAGTGGAAAGTAATGGAAATCAGTGACTTTAGGTGACTACTACGCTGACTTTGGCTTTGGTTGTCACTCCAGGGACAAGCTAGGTTGTAAGTCAGGGTTGTCTGCACTCTATGTGAGGATTATGCAATTGCAAAGAAAGAGGTGTGTGTTTTAGATTCATTTCCTTCTTTTGCTTCCCTGTTGGTCTTATTGCTTATCACCTACAGAGAGTAGACAGGGGCATCTTGAAACATTGGAAAATTATCGAAAGGTTTCCAAATCAAGAGATATAAATGTTATCTTTTAATAAGCTTAATGCCTTGAAAACTAATTGACCCATCCTATGACAGTTTATGAGTGTCGAATTTATTAGGTTTTTTTTAGACGTTTTATTGAAGAGTATTGCAAAACGTCTTTCCTCATAGATGGATGGCGACAGTGCTACAACAGATGCTTCTCAACTAGGCATCTCTGCGGACTACATCGGAGGAAGCCACTACGTGATACAGCCTCACGATGGTGAGAAAGCCGCAATTAAAGATATTCCCCAGAGAAACAACTTAGTGGAAATTATAATAATGTGATGTTCTAGGTTACTTTTGTCTTTATAGGAAAATTAGCAATCTTGTGTCAAAGTTCAGTGATAGTCTAAAACAAGGCTGTTTTTATTAGAAATAGTCAGCAAAAGAGTGATGGGTTCTGGAAAAGAATTCTAGAAGAGAGTTCTAGGAAAGTATTTTTTTGGGCACCTGGGTAGCATCCGACTCTTGATATCAGCTCAGATCTTGATCTCAGAGCTGTGAGTTCAAGCCCTTCATTGGGCTCCATGCTGGGTGTGGAGCCTACTTTAAAAGAAAAAGTATGCTTTTTTGGGAGAGAGCTCATGTGTGAGTGGGGGAAGGGGCAGAGGCAGGGAGAGACTCGCAAGCAGGCCCCATGCCCAGCACAGGGCCCTATGCAGACCCTGAGATCAAGACCTGAGCTGATATAAAGAGTTGGATGTTTAACTGACTGAGCCACCCAGGTCCCCCCTAAGATATACTTTTTGGTAGACATTTGGGGGTGGGTGATTAGTTACTTCATCCTGAAACAGATACATGTAAAAATGTAACTTGAAAAAAAAATTGTAACTTGAATCAGCTTAAGTGCCTAGAAAGAGTACATATTACTTAGAGAATACTGCGTTTAGTTAAAAAAGGCTATTACTGGTACTGTGAAAGCTACAGTTATATCTGAGTCTATATAATTCAAGGATTCACTTTTTGCAAGAACGTCGGATCAGTGCTATAGCTTTGTTCAAAAAGTTAGTACATAGTGTTAATCCAGTTGGCTCAGTAATATTCAAGTCCACTTTTTCCATTCTGTGTAAACTTGGCTTTGTATAATATAACCTTGTAATCTGGCCATATGCAAGGAATTATAGGTCATAGTCTATAAATTTTCTAGCTAAGTTATGTAACAAATACTTGTGAGTAGTTCTTCTGTGGAAGATGCTATACTGAGTTCTAGGAAGTACACAGAGCTGATCCCTGGCCTAAGGTAGCCGTTATCTAAGAGGGAGGGTGAGAAACAAAAAGAATTATAAGATGTGTCAGAAAAGACACAGAGAAGCACTTTGTGATATTTTGTGAAAGGAGAGATCACTTCTGAAGGTGCTGTGGAGATGTTTTTGAGTTTTTGCGAACGGGTAGGTAACATTTTAGTAGGCAGAGTTGAGGATCAAAGGATTTGAGGCAGTGGGTTTGAAACTAATGAGTAGATTCAGTTATGGCTGTGACAGAATTATGAAAAGAACTGCTATCCTCCTCCCTAAAAATGATAAGGAAATGAACCAGGATGGTTCTTATCTTAGATCATTTTAGGTAGTCTTCTCTATCTTGAAGTAAAGATGATGAGAAACTTTAAACCTAAGTCATTTTTATTTCTTTAGATACTGAGGACAGCATGAATGATCATGAAGACACAAATGGTTCAAAAGAAAGTTTCAGAGAACAAGATATCTATCTTCCAATTGCAAATGTAGCAAGGATAATGAAAAATGCCATACCTCAAACGGGAAAGGTAATGCGGAGGAGACATTTTACCGGGGTTTATTTTTCCAGGGGAGAGGAGAGCAGAGACCTACGTGAGTGTGTAGTTCTGAGCATGGTCAGCTATGGATTTCAGCCATTCAGCCTTCCCCAGGTCCAGCAGCTCTTTCAGCGCTACATGTTACTGAGCAGGACTCCATGTGCGGTTCCCACACACTGCCACCCCCCCGCCCCGCTTCCCCTGCCCCCACGTGAAGCAGATAAAATAGAATGAACCATCTCTTGAAAAACAGGTGCATTATCAGAACTATCAGGTTTGGGCATATGGAGTTGCGACTTCTATAATGTTGCAGCAAAATTGGGTCATTTTGGACTGATATGGAGAAAATCCTTACATTTGGAAGCAACTATTTTTATATAATCATAAATATTAATGTATATTTAAATTTAACTGGCATTTTTTTTTAAAGTAGTTCTGTCTTGAGACAGACAGTCGTATAGACAGTTATTTTTAACAGCTTTAAAAAAACTCGTCTCTCTACTCATCACTTGGTCTGAATTAGAAGCCACTTTTTTTATATATTGTATTTCATAATAAACTTTTTTCTCATTGTAGCTTATAAAGTGCTTACGAAAGTAATAAAGCTCACAAAGAAATGTAATATTAGAAAAAGCCTAGAAGTTCTAGTGTGAGAGGCCCTCCTTATGCTTTGAGGGGAAATAAAGCACACTGCTGATTACGGTTTCTGTTGCTAGCCCTGTGCTGCCCTGCACCTCGGGCCACGGGCCCCACATGGTTCTTGAGCACTTGAAATGTGGCGAGTCTGAATTAAGATGTGCTGTATATGTAAAACAGAACTGCAGATTATGCAGGCTTAGTATGAAAAAAATAATTAAAATACCTCAGTTTTAAAATGGATTCTCTGGGTGCCTGGGTGGCTCAGTTGGTTAATTGGCTTCCTTTGGCTCAGGTCATGATCTCAGGGTCCTGGGATCGAGTCCCACATTGGGCTCCCTGCTTCTCCCTCTCCCTCTACTCCTCCTCCCTGTTCGTGCTCTCTCAAATAAATAAAATCTTAAAAAATAAATAAATAAATAAAATGAATCCATTTTATCCTCTATTTAAATGATAATATTTTGGATTTGTTGGGCTGAATAAAATATATTATTAAAATTAATTTTACTTTTTATTTTTTAAAATATTATTTGTTTATTTATTTGACAGACAGAGATCACAAGTAGGCAGAGAGGCAGGCAGAGAGAGAGGGGGAAGCAGGATCCCCACTGAGCAGAGAGCCGAAGGCAGAGGCTTTAACCCACTGAGGCACCCAGGCGCCCCAATTTCACCTTCTTAAAAACCTAGCTACTAGAAAATGTGACGTCACACGTACAGCTAGCGCACTATTATCTTGTGGCAGCTCTTGTTTACTTTTCTCCAGGATGTAAATAGGCCTGGAGGCAGCAGACAGTACGCTTCAGCAAGCATTTTTGTTGTTCTCTTAGAAGTGGCTTTGGAATTGCATGCTTTAATTCATTAGAGTTTGACTTTGAAACCCCACACCCTTAAAAGAAGAATTGCTTTTAAAATGAAGTGGCAGGTGTGTGCTGCTTTTCTAATAACCTCAAAACCTGTACCTGACACTTGGTATCTTCAGTAATAAAAATGTCACCAGATGTCATTATTTCATTCCTTTGTAAACCTGACATGAATTCAGTGTTTTGTCTTTTAAAAATTTTCTGGTGTCCTTATTTGTGGAAATGCTAGGGCAGAGGAGTGATACCTGAGTCTAGCCCACAGTAGACTACATATACCATGGGTCTGATTTTCTTGGGGCATTTGCTTAGTAAGATTTCATCTTTATGGGATGGTAGGGACATCCAGTGATTGCTTTTTTACCTAAATTATACCTGTTTTCGGAGAAGAGTTGTCAAAGCTTCTCTTACTGGTATTGGAGTTTTTATTCTTACTCCAAGGGTTGGAATTTTGATAGCACACATTGTGTCAATGTAATTAGCATATTATTTCAGAGATGAGATGTTAACAGCCACGAACTGAAATTCGTATTCTTCTCAATAGCTTTTTATTTTTGTAGGTTGTTAGGAACGGGATGATGATAGTCCCTGCAAATTTACCTGTGATTTTTCTCTTCAGATTGCAAAAGATGCCAAAGAATGTGTTCAAGAATGTGTAAGTGAGTTCATCAGCTTTATAACATCTGAAGCAAGTGAAAGATGCCATCAAGAGAAACGGAAGACAATCAATGGAGAAGATATTCTCTTTGCCATGTCGACCTTAGGCTTTGACAGTTATGTAGAACCTCTAAAATTATACCTTCAGAAATTCAGAGAGGTAAGTAGAATGCCTTCCATTATGCTTTTAAGAAACTAAGATATACTAGTCACTTTAACTTTTTAAATGTATCATTTATCAGAAGAAGTATGTAATCACTTAGATTACTGTATTTAAATAGTATGTCCTTTCATTTTCCCTTTGTTACTAATGACATCATAGTTGTGTAATGAGTGAGAGCCTGGACTCTGGATTCCAACCACCTGAGGCTGAGTCCCAGTTCCACCACATGAGACCTTGGGCAGGTTACTTAAATACATTAGGCCTTGGTTTCCTGGTCTGTAAAGTTAGGTTAGTAATAATACCTATCTCCCAGGGCCATTGAGAAATAAAATAATTTAGGTACAGCCTTTAGCTTGGCATGTAGTGAGCACTCTGTAATGATAACACATGCTGTGGTTGTCATTAATTTAAAAGAGGTAGCACCTCAAAGCTTGGGGCCTTCTAGATAAGAAAAAGGGAATTCTAACTGTATCCCTTTCTTATTAAATTCTGCATTTCCTTTTGGGTTTATCTTTGCCCATTGTACGAATTTTGTGAAAATAAATTGAGATCAGTGTATTTATTTCCACACTCCAACTTGATATAGGATTCACATTGGTTTCAAAATACTTCCTTAATAGCTTTAATGTTAGAATCCTATTGAATTAGTGTTGTATGCATCGTCAAATGATTAAAGTAGGAAGAGAATGTATAAATTCTTCACAGTACTTTTCCAAATCTTTTGCATCATAGAATCTTAGAGTGAGTGGATGGAAACTTAGAGCTCTTTGGTCCAACCTGTAATTTTGATTTAGGAATTTAAAACTTTAAACTTGCTGTTACAGGACTGCCCATTTGGCTCAGAGCTATATATATATATATATATATATATATATAGTTAAAAGATAATTTGGATCATTTATAGTAGATTTTTGAGCTGAATATTTATAGTATTTTGCAGACTACTTCATCTGTAAGTAGACTTCTATTTTCCTTTTGATGTATTTTGGAATTAGAATAATTTATTTTTATCCATAAATATTTTAGATTTTTTAGGTCATTACTAACACTGTCTTGTGATGATTACTGCTTATATAAAAAGTTAGCATTTTGAAGGGCCTCTTCATATGTAATTAACCAGAAGTGTAAATAAATACTCTGTGCAGTGTTTGTAATAATAGAAGCTCCTAATTTTAGGAAATAAGCATTTTCATCTAGAAAACAGTATCTTTTGAATACCAGTGATTACTTTTTTGATTTTTCCTTCCCCAGGCTATGAAAGGAGAGAAAGGAATTGGTGGAACAGTCACAGCTACAGATGGACTAAGTGAAGAACTCACAGAGGAGGCATTTAGTAAGCAGTGTTATGATACATTTATGCAACTAAATTTGTTCATATAATTCATGTAGTTAGCAGTTATTAATACTAAATGTAACGGTACTTTTGGAATATCAGCCCTGAGTATTTTGACACAGCACTATTTTGAATAGTTCTTATTAGTTCATGCCCTTATGTTTGAAGTCAGTGAGGGATAAGCGTAGAAATTTAAATTCTGCAGACGTTACAGTCTTTCAGCCATAGTTCTGATTTCCATAGCCCCTAGTTTTTGGTTTACGATTCACATGAGATAGGAATGTTGAGAATTATAGCTTGTAATGTAAAATCTTGCGACTGAAATTAATTTGAACTGAAGGGTGTTTAAAGAAACTGAATAGGGGTGCCTGGCTGGCTCCATTGGAGGAGTGTATGACTCTTGATTTCAGGGTTGTGAGTTTGGGCCCCATGTTGGGTGTAGAGATTACTTAAAAATAAAAAATCTTAAAAAAAAAGAATATTGTCATATTGATTAAATAAGAGGTCTGTGATGATTCTGTTTCTCATTTAAAATTTATAGATACATATTTTGCATTTCTCGTACATAAAATACATGCTGCTTAGTCCTAGAAGTGTTGCTCCCAGCTAAGCCTCATGGTATAGGTCTGCTTATGAATTAGAAACCCCATCCAGTCTCTGCAGATTTGTACACATGGGCAGTCAGCTCAAGTATATTTTAGAGGAATGAAGATTCAGAAAATTGAACACTTGCAGTAGGAAAAATGTGCTTTTTAGGGAGCTTTTTTTTTTTAATGCTAAATTTGAGGGTTGATGATTTTTCAAGATGACTTTGAGCAGTGACAGAATTGTCATTGGACTTGCGTGACTTTCGGGTTCAGACCACAGAGGAGATGCGACTCTTTTCCTGGTTTAACTTTTTTTTTGTCTTCTAGCTAACCAGTTACCGGCTGGCTTAATAACTGCAGATGGTCAGCAACAAAATGTTATGGTTTATACAACGTCATATCAACAGGTAAAATACAACTTTCTTTGTAGCTTAAATTATTTAAAAAATTGATTGCATCCACTGATTTTTATCACAGGAAGTTAATTTCAGCACATCACAGTTGACCCTTGAACCACATGGGTTTGAATTGCACTGGTCCACTTAAGCGCAGCGTTTTGACGGTACCATAGGTGTGGTTTTCTCTTCCTTACGATTTTCTTAATAACATTTACTTTTCTCTAGTGTTGTTGTAAGAATACAGTATATAATACATATACAAAATATGTGTTAATTGACTATTTATGTTCTGGGTGAGGCTTCCGGTCAATAGTAGGCTGTTAAGTTTTGGGAGGGGGTCAGAAGTTTTGTGAGGATTTTCAATTGTGCAGAGTTTGGCACCCCTAACCCCTGTGTTGTTCAAGGACCTGACTGTATTATTATTAAGGACCCGATAAAGAAGGTTGTTAGAAATTGCTTTCTCAAAATATGTAATTGTGTATTCTCTTACTCATTAAAAATAGGTACACACATATTCATATTTGCATAGATTTCTAGGAAGATGCATAAGAAATTATTAAGTAGCTCCCTTGGGTAGACAGAATGGAGATGTGGAGTGGGAAGTAGACTTATTTTTCATTGTCCATTGTTTTTACTCTTTGAAAGTTTATAATATGTTATTTTTTTAAATATATATTTTGTTTTAAAAATATATTTTTTCTTTAATTCTGCTCAATTTAAATTTTCTGACCTTAGATTTCTGGTGTTCAACAAATTCAGTTTTCATGATCTGAAGAAATGGTGGCATGGGGAGTGGAGAGAAGGGAAAGAGTCTGTACGATTCTGGAAACAGAGACATTAAGAAGGAAGTGACTGGGGGAATGATGTCTCTTTGTATATTAAATAGCTGTAATGTAGCTTCCTGATGCTTGACTAATTGAGGTGTTAATTCTGACTTGAGAATCTTTTTCATGAATGATTTTAAAGAAAAATTTGGATTTTAAAGGTATTAAAATATTTTTGTTTTGTACGAGAGTTTGTTGCTCTGTATGACTCCTGTATGCATTGTATATTGCAATTTATTACTGTCAGAGATTTGTAGACAGTTTCTTATTTTCATATTGAATCATGTTACTTTTGTAATTCAAGTAAGCAGCTGGGTTAATTCATGATGTTTGCCCTTTTAATAAAATATAAGGGTAGAGTTCATTTTGAATGCAAGTTGCCTTTATTATACATTTGAGTTTGTCTTGGTTATATAATACCTTGCATGGTAACCTAGCTAGATTTTTAGCATTTGCCATATTTATTAAAATTAATTTTTTGTAAAACATACATAGCTTAAGCAGCACCATTTTTTAAAAATGTAATTGAAAAATTAAGTGTGAATGCAGAAGCAAACATTGTCTGCCCTATTAAACTTGGTGCCCAGTAACAGTGTTTACACTGTTCATTGTGCCTGTTAAGATAGTTTTAGTTTATTGGAGCTTTTGTTAAGACCAAATTTGTTTCTGAGTTAATTATGAGTGTTGGAATTCATTTAAGTTTAATGTAGTCCTACTGCTCTTGAAATGGTGCCCTTTTCATTTTTATATGATTTTTCCAAAGCATATCTTCAAATACTATAGTATCCTCTTCCAGAGGAGGAATTTTATAGTCTGATGGTAAATGTCCTCGTTTTACCTTTTTAATTGAAGTGTCAAGTTTCCTAATTATACTGTGGGAACCAAGAAATATCAGACATCATGGTGTGTATACAGAACTTTCTCTGCATGGGTGAGTGAATGCAGTGGAGAACAGAGTGAATGCTGCGAATGGTGTGAAACAGAAGCGCCCCAACTTCTAGTGTGCTGTCTTGATCTTTGCAATAAACTAAACTTAGATAATGTAACTTTGTATAATTTAGTAGTATGTACTTGGGTTGTTCCTTTTTTAAAGTGAGGATTTGTATTTTCTCATCTATTCTTTTCGGTGGTAATTAACCTGAGTGTTTTGGGGTTTTTTTTTAATATCAACAATTGCTATTGTATAGTTTGCCTAAAAGACAATTTAAATGTCATCTTGGAAGGACGCTCAAATGTATAAAATAGAAGCAATTTCATAGATGCAGGCTGAACAGAAATATTTTACCTTGCCAGAAGGAAACTTTGGGGGCACATCTGGGCTAATCTGAGGTTAGTAACTCCCTCACTACCTTCCCATTTAAAAAATAATCTTCATTACAGAAAACTCAAATAGGCAAAAAAGGGGAGGGTGTTAAGCAAAATCAACTATCATCCTGTTGTGCTGAAATAACCAATGTTAATATTTTGGTAAATATCATTTGTCCTTTTACTTTGCTAAATATGTATATTTTTATAAAAATGGGCTCATACTTGCATACTGTTTTGTAACCTGCTTTTTTCACTTAATAATATATTGTAAACATCTTTCCCAGGTCATTACATAGTCTTTTATTTTTATTCATTTGTTATTCTGTTGTATGGCTGAACCATAATTTATTTAATCCTCTACTGGATGTTTTGACTATATGCATCTTTTCATAGTTATAAAACAACACTTCACTGACTCTTGTGTACATCCATGACTGTTTTCTTAAAATAAATTCTTAGAAGTGAATTGCTAAGTTAACAGATACACACAAAATTTTAAGGCTTTTGGTATTTCCACGTTAGTGTACTTCTGAAGTAGTTTCCATTTGGTCCAGGCAATGTATCAGTATAGAACTGATAAAAGCACTTGGTCTTTAACAGATTCTTTCTCTAAAAGTAAAGATTGGGTTATGTTTAATTATCAAGAAATTTAGACAACTTTAAGATTTATATCAATATAAACCAAATGTCTAAACTTAGTAATTTGTTTGTAGTACTAAAACTTTAGGTGAAATCAGGTCAACTTTGGGTTGTATGGCCTCTCTCCTCTAAAAGAACATTCGCCTTCTCCATGTGTCAGGTACACACCTTCTGTTTATGCGTTTAGGAGGGAGTGTTGGCTTTTTACTTGGCCTGTGTTGCATTTCACTGAATGTCAGGTTTTTTCCCCCTGGAACTTCAGTAGATAAGCTCCTATGTTAACCTAAGTGTTTTCTTTATAACTTGGTAGTTACTGCTTTTATGAGTATCTGAGAGAGAAATGGGCTTCAGTGACTAAGTCATAAACAGGACTTTAAGTAGCTTCTGTCTCTCCCCTCACTGCCTCATAACAGAGCTGCCAGGTCCAGAGAGAATTATAATTCTTTTTAATGCTACCTTCCCAATGTCATACTTGGGTATGATGATAGATTAAGCTGTTTGTATTTTTTTTCCTCCTAGTGTAATATCTATACAGTATTTTCCTTTCCTCAAAAATATGCCTTATCGCCTCTCTTCTGGATTGCTTTAGTGGGTTAAAGGAACACCAGTTTCCTTTAATAAAGCAAATTGAACATAGTTATGAGGGCCAACTGAAAGGATTTCTGTAGCACTACCAATTAAGCATGATAAATGGAAAAAATAGTTTCTGCCATTTGCCAAGAATAAAATCTTGTGGTACAAGGTTTTTTTTTTTTTAAATTTTTATTTATTTATTTATTTTTAAAGATTTTATTTATTTATTTGTCAGAGAGAGAGAGTACACACAAGCAGACAGAGTGGCAGGCAGAGGCAGTGAGAGAAGCAGGCTCCCTCCCTAGCAAGGAGCCTGATGTGGGACTCGATCCCAGGACCCTGGAATCATGACCTGAGCCGAAGGCAGCGGCTTAACCAACTGAGCCACCCAGGCATCCCGTGGTACAAGATTTTTAAGATCTGAATATTTTCTCTTTAGGGAAAGTTATTTTATCAACAGTCCAAAACAAGATAATATTTGTTGCTTTATGTGATAAAATACATTTCTGAATCATTCAAATGATACCAGGTAAGATCTATACCAAAAACTAGGCTATCCTATATGTATATTTTTAGTTTCTCTGTATTAGACAACTTATGTATGTTTATGTAATAATTTATGCATATTGACCTTAAACTCATATTAAGTCAGTGTATCCATGAGTAAAAAATAGAACAGTCTCAACTAATTTTTTTCTTAAGGAACTACACTATATTGTCTGAAAAATATTCAGGTTTAATTTATGGTTTCTTTTGAAGCTGCAAATGTTACTTTCCTTACTTCCCCAAGTTTCACTTCCTCTTGCTTGTTATGCTCCAGTCACCCTAGTCTCATGGCTCCTTGTGCCATGTTCTTTGCCTCCTCTGCCCACATATACTTCCCTCTGCCTAGAACATTCTTTCTCTTCCTGTGCCTGGCTAAGTCTCACTCATCCTTCACGTTTTAGTTTAAGCTTCAGCAGGAAAGCCTTTAAAAACTTCTGTTATACCTTCATACTAATTACCAAATACAGAAAGTATCACCACCCAAAACTGAATAGGTTTGTACACACTATTTGCTGGCTGCCACAGCTGCTTAGACATTTCTTTGAAGACTACTTTTCTTTTTATACCTGATTTTAAGGATTTTAAAACCATAAGGCAGAATCTCTTCAAATCATGGGCCACAGATGGCGTTGGGACAGATGCTTTTCCCTGGCTTCTGGCCATCACCTTTCAAAATATAAACTTGCCTAATAGCAGTTACAGCTTCTCCGACTTCCTCCAGAGACTGTTTCCTTCCGCACTGCATAGTAGAGAGACACCTGCGCAGGCACCTTAACTGTAAACACGCCTTTGCCAAGGTTAGTGCCAGCTAGGTGCCAGATAAAGTCAGTAAACGTACTGGCTTTGTCTGTAGAAATCTAATGGCCATGAATTAGTTTTAGGGGTGGATACAAGTTGATAGGTAATTCCTCCGTCTTCCACAATACCTAAGATTAAAATATCTGGACACTGCAGCATAAACATTGCCTCTTTCAGGTATAATTTGGGTCTTCCTTGAGCATCCTTGAGAGCAAACAGTAAGACTTCTACACCTATTTTTCAGGCTGCTCAGTTTCAGAGGACATCTGAATGAAAGAGATTTCAGAACCTTAAGCACCGGGTACTTGGTTGAAAACACACTGCTAGGCAAAGACAAGCCATAATAGTGCCTTCCAGCCAGGGCGGCTAGGCCAAGAAGGCCTGTTCGTGCATCTATACTGCCCAGTGTTCGGTCTGCCAGAAACCAAGACCAAATCCCCTTTTCAGACCAAAGCAAACACTAATCAAAGAATACAAAGGATAATATTTGGGCTGATGGCCATTTAAGGAAATGGCAGAGTTATTACTTACTTTGGAAGAAAAGTATAACTTTTAAGGGGTGCCTGGGTGGCTCAGTGTTAGGCCTCTGCCTTTGGCTCAGGTCATGATCTCAGGGTCCTGGGATTGAGCCCCGCATCGGGCTCTCTGCTCAGCAGGGAGCCTGCTTCCTGCTTCTCTGCCTTCTTGTGGTCTCTGTCAGGTAGATAAATAAAATCTTAAAAAAAAAAAAAAAGTAAAGTATAACTTTTAACACACAGTTTCTGTGTGTGTGTGTGTGTATGTATGTATGTATGTATATATTAAATAGGGTTATTTTATTTCTAACCTTGCAAGTAGCAGTGCCCACATCATAGGAGTGCTACCTTGCAGGACAGTGCAAAGGGCAGAACTAAGCATCCTATAATTCTTTATAGACTACAGACTGCCATGTGAGTAGGAATACTCACATCAAGTGCAAAGTAACACAAATTTTAATTAAGTAATTTTTAGAAGGAGGGGGGTGGGGGAGGAGCAGAGGGAGGAGAGCGATTCTTTTTTTTTTTTTTTTGAAGATTTTATTTATTTATTTGACAGAGATCACAAGTAGGCAGAGAGAGAGGAGGAAGCAGGCTCCCGGCTAAGCAGAGAGCCTGATACGGGGCTCGATCCCAGGACCCTGGAATCATGACCTGAGCCGAAAGCAGAGGCATTAACCCACTGAGCCACCCAGGCGCCCCAAGGAGAGCGATTCTTAAGCAGGATCCACCATCAGCTTTTGCCTCAAGGGTTCTGTTGAATTCTGGAGACTGAACTAGCAGCAGTTGTGGGGGAATGGACATACTTATTTCTCAGAGAGAGAGAGAGCACAAGCAGGGGGAGCGGCAGGCAGAGGGAGAAGCAGACTCCACTCTGAGCAAGGACCCCGATGCGGAACTCAATCCCAGGACCCTGGGATCATGACCCGAGCTGAAGGCAGATGCTTAACTGACTGAGCCACCCAGGCGTCCCAGGGAGGCTCAC